TCCTCAATGAATAAATGAACAAGTATAATATTTTTCACTGTTTTGTTTAATTGGATTAACTTTATCTATCTTTATTAACCTTGTCTGGAGAACAGATCATGTTTTAGGTTACATTTATGCAGAAATATTGGAAATTCAAAAGGGTTCCTGAACTTTTAAGCACTACTGTAATAGTTTTACGATTCAATCCGCATTCATTCTTTCTGTCTTCATCACCCTCTTCTTGACCCTCTTCTTTTTACCATGCATACTTAAGTATTCCATTCCTGCCACATTCAACTCTCCTTTATGTTTCTCTTGAAATATTCAGATGTCACTTCCATAGAACAAAGTGGCAGAAACATGCTTTTAACACAGCTATTTTAGCTTTTTTAAACCTTCACAACAGCCCACATATTACTCTTTGCTTTCAACTGACTTTTGCAAATTTTAAAATTTCTCCATTTTCTCATTGTTAGTAAACATTTGATCAAAGTGTATAAATTCATCTTCCTGCATAACTTGCAATCATTCATTTTGTTTGTCTGTCAAACACAGCTACAGGTAGTCCTCATTTACAGACCACAATCAGGACCAGCAACTCTGTCATTGAGCAATGTGGTCATAAAGTGAAACATCAGGTGACCGCGCCCGACTTATGACATCAGGTCCAGCTGCAATTGTGAAGTGAATTACCCATGGTTGTTAAGCGCAACATCACGTGACCGCGACTTGCGACTTCCTGCCAGCTTCCCCATTGATTTTGCTTGTTGGAAGCCGGCTGTGAAAGTCACAAATGGTGATCATGTTACCATGGAACACTGCAACCATCATAAATGCATGCCGGTTGCCAAGTGCCCAAATTGCAATCATGACCACGGGGACAGTGCATCAACCGTAAGTTCGAGGACCAGTCGTAAATCTCCTTTTTCAACACCATTGTAAATTCGAATGGTTGCTGAATGAGCAGTCGGTAACCGAGGACTACCTGTACCTTAGTCTTCAATACATTAAGTTTTCGATACATAATGGCACCATATAATCTATCTAACATTCATTGCAAATAATTTAGGTTGTCAGCTAGGAACACAGCACTGTCTGAAATCAGAAAACACGCACTCATGTCCCCAACCAACACACTGTTGACATCATCACAACAGTTCCTTATACATTTATCTATAAATACCATAAACAAATCAAGGGAACATCACACATTGTTGTCTTATTTCCTGCTCAGTGTTGAAGCATTTGCTAACATTCAGTTTACTATCTCTCAGCTTCGCTTCCATCATATATCAGTCTTACCATATTCAGCAGCAGCTCATCTTCAACTTTGCGCAAAACACATAATTCAGGCCTATTAACTTGATCATGCCTTTTCTTTAAATTCACTAATGTGCAATAAGCTTTTTTCCCCCATATTCACACATTTCTCAATGATACGCAGAGGAGCAAAACCTAGTCTGTACATACATCCTCACTGTACTTCCCAAATTTTGCACATTATCTTCTCTCAGAATTCCGGGCAGAATGAAATATTTATTTGATTTAAAAAGCCAATTAATAGAAAACTACTCAAGGCAGCCTTATCCCCCTGTAGTTTTTGTATTGTGGAGGAACACATGATCTTGGAAAAGATCTGCACAGACTGTTAGCAAAACATGAGCTTAGTCTGGGAAAACAAGACAGCATGAGAAAGAAACTTAAAGTTGCCCTAGCTTGACTCTCTTTGTTATTAGAGGGAGGGAAATGGAAATGCTATCAGGCTTTCAAGATTCTGTTATTTTACCTTATATCAGTGTTGTAGTGTTCTAGTATTTCTTGTGGTGTCTGTTTCCTGACCTGGCCTACCTCAAAGTACTAACATGCATTCAATTGTTATGTTTTCCTTTGAAAGAATGTCTTAATCGATCCCCTTAGGCATGCATGTAGTCTTTACACACATGTTAAAGTTGCATAGGCATTCCATAAACAGAATATATCATATTTTAACAATTCTCCAGTTATACCATCTATTCCTGCACCTATTTCTTTGAGTGGTGAAATATAATGCAAAATCTAAACAATTTAAAGACCCACCTGTTGCAGAAGCATACATCAGTTCAGCAAGCATAAGTGATATTCTCTGCAACCAGTGGTTACAGAGAAACTGATGCAAGGCAAGAAAAGTTTAAAATTGTTAAGCCAAATAGTTAAATTGTAGGATGCACATAATAGGATCCTTGGAGACAATGGGTAAATAGAAGAGCAGATTTTGGAAAGAGGCAGTTAAGATCTTTGTAGACCTGCTGGCTCCAGGTTAGAGTTCAATTAGCCCCAGCCTCTGAAGGTCAGGTAGTGGGAAGGGGGATAGAATGGAAGAAAAAAAGGCAGTTTGGGGGAGGAGGGAAAGAAGTAGCTCAGAAACATATGCAAGGGTCTGGCAAGGCAGAGAGAAAAAGGGAAAGAACAGAAGAAAGCTTGGAACCAGCATGGCAGGGATTCCCCCCCCCCCTTTTTTTTTTTTT